CTAAACAATACTTATAAAATGATTTATTTATCTATGACTTACAGATCTATACTTTAAGTTTAAATTCTTGTATTAAACAAAACATTTTCAGAAAAATAAAATCAATTCTGTAGCAATAAAAAAAATAGAATCAGTTACCCTAGCTAATGTAAAAAGTCCCTTTATGCCTATAAATTATTTGTACAATATAAATGGACTAAAGTGATGAAGGGCAAGCTTCAATTTCTGTTTTTTGTATTTTCTGATAGAAGCAACACTCCTTTGAAAAGTAACACCTCTAGATTACAAAGCTCAAAATTATGTGAGTCAGTCATTAGGGGTAACATTGGCAGGAGCCACTTCCATCTCCCCTTACACCGACTTCCAGACCTACATATTCTTGCTACTGGAGAATAGGCATGATGCCTAGTTTGCTGGTTCAGAATGTACATGGCCTTGAGTAGACACACGGGGAGCCATCATGTGTTGTCCCCCAAGTAGTGCCCTAACTAAGCCTTCAGTAAGTCATTTCATTGTTCTGCCAGGACACATCCTTCTGAGTGATGAGTACACGGAAGGAGACGGATTTCCCAGTATCATTTATTAAATATTCACAGTGCTCTTACTGACTTGTGAGGTCAAAGACCACGTTCCCAACTAAACCACAGATGATTTTCTGCGCTCTCCTTTCTGTCTCTTTAACTCCTTATGTTCCAGTAGCATGTTCTTTCTATGACTAAGACGTCTTACTACTGGGAAGAGTGAGCCCCTATATCACTTGCCCTTTTTCAAAAGTGTCTTATTCTTCCAAGTAAACTTTATAAATTTTTAATTTCAGGTTGCCTTCACAATTCATGCCAGAGTTTGGATTGGAATTATATTGATTTTGGATTAGCTTGGATGAAATTGACAACTTTATATACAGTCATTCTAGTAAAAACCATTTGTAAGGTAACAAGTAATTTATTGATAGAGCTCAACTAGATTTAAGATACTTGTTAAAAATGTAAGTTTTTGCAGAACCCCCCAATGTTCCTAATGAGAACTTCTATAGACAAAAACCTGAGAAGATAAATTTGTAATGAAACCCTCTTTTGATTCTTGTAAGCATTAAAGTTGAGAATCACTGGACAGATAAATTGGTTTCCTGACCTAAAATTCAATAAACATTTTCCACTTAGTCTGATGCATTGCAGACTTAATTGTGATTTCTCCTGCAGAATCCATAACAAATGGACTTGATTTCCAATGAAGATATGGGCTAATTATGCTTATGGCTTCTAGTCCCCAGGTTCCTCAACTAAGGCTACCTTTGAGAAACTTGCAATGTTATTTTTCCAAAATAAACTTGACTTCTAATTAACCCCACCCAGGACAATGTCTCCAGGGAAGTAGATACAGCCTCAGGAGTCCAGCAGTCACAGTATATGCTTCTAATATCCACACCCCATGTTGGTCACCAGAACTTCTAAAGATAATGACTTTGGCTGGAGACGTTGAAAGTCCTGATGGATAGGGGAGGCTCCTTCTGTTGAGGCAGATGAGAGCTTCCATCTCAAGGCAGATTCACTCTCTTTTGCTGATATCTCTTCAGGTCCTGACCTTGGGCTTAGAATCTACATTTAAAGGGATCCCAGATACTGAATAGCTGCTTCTGTCTGAACTGAAACACGGAGAGCAATGTAGGTACTTACCGAGGTGGGGATATTGATCTAGTTTGGGGCTCTGTGGGGCCGAGACCCGAGTGAGGAGTAGTGCTTGTGGACACCTCCCCTTCGACCCCCTTAGAAGATCAGCGACAGCTTTCTGGCCAGTGCCAGGGATATTAAGAAGGAGAACCAGGGGCTGCTTTTACCTCCAGGTACTAAAAGTGATTGGGCATCGTCCGTATAGTTCTCTGAAATTTTCTTAATGATCAGACTGGTTCATTTTCACTCCCTGCTAGATTTTCTTTACTTTTTTTTTTTTTGGATTTTCATGGATTAAATGAAACATATACTAAATCTTCACTTCCTCTCTACTGTGTACTCATGTATGTTTTCAGCTACAATTGAAATCTGATACTTAAACTCCATTTTAAAATGGCAAATTCAGGATTTTCATGTGTATCTAAGAATACAAAAATTCCGTCTCTTTATTTTCTGAGGCTGTGTACATAATTCCTCTCAGTTAATTGACTGATGTTTTCCCTGAGAGAAGTATTTGAATATCTCAAAATTTTGCATTTGAAACATCATAGGTTTGCTTCCTTTTTGAGTAACCAGTACCCTCAAATATTGAGTCACTGTTTAAATCTAAATTATATAAAATTCCTTGGAGCCTCTAAGGAATTAGAAAAATAAGGTATAGAAGTGTCATCTCCAAGGATCATAACATGAATTCCATCCCCAGGTTGTAGAATATCAGAAAGGGACTTTGGGGATCATCTGAGTAGAGAATTTTGGACTCTTTGAGTTGAAACATTATTGAGGGTCAGTACTCAACTCTTACCCTAAGTCAAAAAATTCTGCAAGATATTACTCAAGGAGCCTCTGCTTAAGTACTTTCCGTGCATCCTAACAGTTTATTACAGTCACTACCCTGTCACCTAATTTTAAAATAAGGAGACTAAATATCCAAGTTAAGTACCTTGGCCAAAGTCACACAAAGCTAGACCTAAAATACAGATCTTCTCACTCCAAATGGAGGGATCTTTTCTCTTAGTTTCAAGGCTTGTGGGTATTTGGCTGGAAGATCTTTTTATTCTTTTGCTGTTATATCTTTCTGTCCATAGTACTGATATGACGTCCTGTGGTGGTCTTGGATGTGTTCTTGGCCAATGGGGGCTGCTTCTCAGATGAACTGTGTCACTGGGTCTCCATACACCATGAAAAGGGCAAATATATCAGCCACACCTCATTTAGACTGTAAGGTTATATTAATAGCTTGTAGAAAATCCAGTTACCTGAAGTCAGCTATCCTCATGGGTCTTAATGAAAAATAATCCAAGCTACCTTTTTTTTTTTTTTTTTTTTGGTATTGGCTAGATACCAGGCACTCCTTCATAATCAGATAACTCTAGCTACTGTGGTCTATAATTCATGCTCAGTGGAGTGAGAGTATGGTAGGGATTATAGGTGAGTGAGTTGAAAAGAGACACAGAAAAATCTTGGGAAAATGATAAGAAAAAAGAAACTGATCATAAATTCAGATTTCCCCCAGTGTTTTGAAATAGACGGAAATCTCTTTGTCTAGGTGGAGGTGTTACATAGGGAAACTGTCTCATTGGTTTGCCTTTTCTTCATATAATTCGTATATTTATGCATATGTATATAATGGGGATATACATGACATATCCATTCTTTGCATTTATATGTCATAGAAATATCTCTGGCTATAGAATGAAAAATTTCTATTATTTGTTTTAAAGGACTATAAAACCAGCATGTGTGAGTATCTTAATATTAACTTCAAATAATTATACCTACTAAGTTTAGGACCAATTTCTAGTAATGAAGAAAGAATGAAAATTATTATCTCCAAATTCTAAGGATAGATAAAATGAGTTTCAGAAATTTCCAATCATTTAACTTAGAGTCTAGGAAACCAAAGTTTGTTACTATAAATGCAAAGAATGGATATGTCATGTATATCCCCATTATATACATAAGTATGAATATACTAATTATATGAAGAAAAGGCAAACCAATGAGACAGGTTCCCTATGTAACACCTCCACCTAGACAAAGAGATTTCCGTCTATTTCAAAACACTGGGGGAAATCTGAATTTATGATCAGTTTCTTTTTTCTTATCATTTTCCCAAGGTTTTTTCTAATGCAAAACCAAGAAATTCTGGTAGCAGATGCAGATAATTCCTCAACACAAAATAATGTCGAAGTATTTAAATATACTGGAAACTACATAAATGAAGACTGGATACAGCCTGTAACTACTAAATGATTTTGCATCCAGGGAACACAGACTTTACTTCTTAGGCTTAGGCAGTTGGGAAATACACCCATGGAAAAAAGCATGTGATATAAGGTCTAAAAATGACTTTAGAAATAGTTTTTTTTCTAGTAGTTTGCAAACTGTTTAGCAGAAGAATATTCATATTCAAAAGGAAACTTATTAGCAGAACAAGTTGTAAAAGATATAAAGCCTATGATTTGTGTCAGGGGAAAACTGCCCAGTTGTCACATTCTCTGTCACTCTCTGAGACAAGCTCTTGGACATTTTTGCAAAACTCTGTTTCTCTGAGATTCTTTGAGGCGTTTCAGAATGGGAAAAGTGAGAAGGGTTGCAACATGCATGTTAATGAGACTTTTTCTAATACTCTGATGACTCTTCTCTTGCTAAAAGAAGGAGAACGTTTTCTTTTAAGTAATGCTATCTTCTGTTCCATCCTTGGCTCACTATTCTAGTTTGCAGAACTTAAGTAATGTTTCAAACTGGTTTCAGCACTGAAGGGTGGTTTTTTCCTTATTGTTTTGGGTATCGATATAAAGTTTTTGTAATGAATCGTTGACATAAGATATATAATATTTTTACCACGTATTTTAGCATATAATAAGTCATCAACAAACACAAATCCTCTTACACTTTTGCTGAGAGTTTATCTAATTCTTCCTCTCCCTTCTCATTTTCTGGTTGATAATCTGAAGTTCACATGCTGTGTCTGAGCACTACTCATTCTTTTATTCCACGCTCTGATCAAGTTCAGATAGCTGAAGTTAACCATTATTCTCAGTTTTGGAGAGCTGGTTGCCTTGGGCTTGTAGTGAGCAAGAAAAACACAATAATTCATTAGATAATTCATAAGTAAGCTACAAGGGAAACCTAATAGACCAGTGCTTAATCCTCTGCTAGAGAGAGAACATTTTCTGAGGCTCAGACAAAGCCGCCTAACTGGTTGCCAGTTATCCTATTCTGTGTTTAGCCTTAATTCTTATTTCAGCAAATGTTTCTTGGAGGGAATGAATGAGTTCCACCAAACGTTTAGAAATGCCTGCCAGCTGCAGACTTTGCGCTGAGTTTCCCGTGCATTTCTCCCTCCCTGGAGCCGGGCCTCTGGCTCTGGCTCTGGCTCTGGCTCTCCTGTGCAGCAGTGACCATGGAGTGGGTCAATGAGACTCTGGTGAGAGAGTTTGTCTTCCTCGGCTTCTCCTCTCTAGCCGGGTTGCAGCAGCTGCTCTTTGTTGTCTTCCTGCTCGTCTACCTGTTCACTCTGGGCACCAACGCCATCATCATTTCCACCATTGTGCTGGACAGAGCCCTGCACACCCCCATGTACTTCTTCCTTGCTGTACTCTCCTGCTCTGAGACTTGCTACACCTTCGTCATTGTACCCAAGATGCTGGTGGACCTGCTGGCCCAGAAGAAGACCATCTCCTTCCTGGGCTGTGCCATCCAGATGTTTTCCTTCCTCTTCCTTATCTGCTCTCACTCCTTCCTGCTGGCAGCCATGAGTTATGATCGCTACGTGGCCATCTGTAACCCTCTGCGCTACACGGTGCTCATGGGACATGGGGTGTGTGTGGGACTAGTGGCTGCTGCCTGTTTCTGTGGCTTCACTGTCTCATTGGTCACCACCTCGCTGGTATTTCGCCTGCCCTTCCACTCCTCCAACCAGCTCCATCACTTCTTCTGTGATATCTCTCCTGTCCTCAAGCTGGCATCTCATCGTTCTCGCCTCAGTCAGTTGGTCATATTCATGCTCGGTGTGTTTGTCTTGGTTATTCCACTGTTACTCATCATGGTCTCCTATGTCCGCATCATCTCTGCCGTTCTAAAAATTCCTTCGACTGTTGGAAGATACAAAGCCTTCTCTACCTGTGCCTCCCATCTCATTGTGGTAACTGTTCATTATGGTTGTGCCTCTTTCATTTATTTAAGGCCCAAATCTAATTACTCTTCAAGTCAAGACACTCTAATATCAGTGTCCTATACCATCCTCACTCCTCTGTTCAATCCAATGATTTACAGTCTAAGAAATAAGGAATTCAAATCAGCCCTTCGAAGAGCAATCATCCAGACTTCATATCCTGTTAATTAAAAAGCCAATTTTTAACTATTCAGGTAACTGTATGACTTTTATGCGCCAAGTAAAATGTGTGCTTTCAAACATTTTCTTATTTAAATGTAGAATACACCATAAAGATATTTTACATATGAGGAGAATGAAGCTCAAAGAAGTTAAGACATTCTGACTTTCTACCCTCAGTGATACTCTAAAAACGCTATGCAGATGTGTAAAAAGATTAGTCATTTCTTGAATAAATTTCATCATATTTCACTGCTCTAAAATTTATCATTCAAGATCAAGTATGTCTTTGATGAGAGCAAAGATGCGTTCAAGCTTTGTAGGTCAAAAGAATAGAAGAAAATCTGACCACCCAGTCCCGCACTCCTGCTATCGCTTCCCGCTCTCCTGAAGACAACAGGCAACCTTGGTCCCCTCCATTTTATAAGAAACACAGTGCCCGTATTTGGTCCCTGATTTCCTAACCCCACCTCAATCTACGTGTTGAATGCTTTGCCTTTACCTGAGTTATTTTGTTCTTCTGTTCTTTGAGACTGGAACTTTATTATGGAATCTTCTTCCTGTATGTATGTAGCATCTTATTTTAACCCCCAGATTCAGTCCCTGAATATCATACCATTTATTGTCTTCGAAGCAGCTACTACCACGGAATAATTGCTAAAGTATCTCAAGTAATCTAAGCAAAGGGGTCGAGTTACTGTTAACAGGGTAAAGAACAAGAGTTCCCTAATGGCCAGGAAACTCATGGAAAGGTCTTTCAGTGACTCTGCTTGCCATAGACAATGAAGCCAGGAACTCTCTGTTAGCAAGAATGTATCATCTAGTTCCTGCCGACCTCTCTGGCCTTGTTATTGCTAACATTATTGCCATCCATTTCTCATTTGCATCTAGTTGTGCACTCTGAAGCTGATCTAGTGTTGGCTGGGCCTCAAAGTGACGTGATTCCGTATTCTGCCCTGTTTTCTCATGTGCTGCGTCCTCTCTTTGGAATAACTCCTCTTTGTTTAATTTTCTTATTTCAGCTCATATTTCAAGGTAACTTCAACCACACTGTCACTTTCTCTCTAAAGCCCTCCCTCTGTCCATGACATAACCTGCCAGTGGTATTAAGCTCTGCCTCCTTTGTGTTCTCACAACATCCAGGATTTATTTTTATTATATCTTTCATTATTTCAACAGATGTCTATTCATTGCTTAATATGTACAAGATACTATTTTAGCTACTGGAAATTGATGATGCAAAAAATGTCCATGGTCTCCGCCCTCATAAACTTATTGTCCAGTTTGACAGAGTCTCAGTAAAGGGATAAACTCAGGAAAAAATTATTTACTGCAAGTTAAATTCTATTCTCTGAAGTGAACTATATGCAGGAGCTTGGCAAGAGAAGACAAAAAGAAATCTAATTTAGATTGGATGGTGTGGAGATGGCTTCCCAGGGGAACCGAGGTGTCACCTGTAACTTGAAGAGTAAATGGGAGTCACTAGGTAAAGGGGATTATTTGCAGAGACCCTTTTAGACAGAAAAAGCAACATGTACAACAGTCCTGAAGCAAGAAAGAGCTGAAAGAGATGCAGACAAGCAAAGGAGGCCAGGCTAATCGTTTTTTTTCTCCCTACAGTGATTTGGAATTTCCCAAAGGCATAGGTTTTATATTAAATACATCTTGTCGACCCGACTCTCTGTATAGTGCCTGGAATGAAAGGAATTCTTGTGTTATGAATTTTTCCATTTTCTGCTGCCAAGCTCCCTCAGTCACCTTCATGTCCTGACCTGTCTTGGTGAAAGTCAGTTCTGTCCACTCAGGTGACCATGCACGTGACAGTGACCTTTTTTTTTCCCCTTTCCTACACCACACATTGAACCAGTCAAATATTGAATGGATTTGTCTCTTTGAATCTCCCCCTTCTGACCCTGCCATGAGAGAGGAAGGGCAAGCAGTATTGAAAATAGTGTCGTGCGTGGATACTTCTCATCTTTTCACAAACACTGATTCCCTTCAGATTCCACAGTTTTGATTCTTGAGAAGAATCAGTCAGGTCAAAGACACCAGATCATGGGAATCAAAGGTCCTGAAGAGGTAAAGAAAGTTAATTTTTCAACAAAGCTGTCAGGTTGTGTATTGTATGTTCATACCTCTTCCTACAAGACAGAGTAAGAAATGTTTCAATTGCCACCTAACATGCACACACACAAACGGAAACAAGGTTCACTTTAAATACGTTTTATTCATAATTTGTGTATTTTTATCAATGTTTTCTCTGTTTCTCCATCTACTCTGGATTTTAAAACTGCTGGTGTTGACAACTAACTTGATTCTATAACCTCAATGATGAGATAAGCATAAAGTTTCAAAATCACTGTTTTAAAGTGGTTGCTTTGAGTGGAGAGGAAAGAGCCCAGCAAGAAAAATAATATTAAAGAAAAAAATACCAATGATAGAGCACTTCCTATGTGGCAGGTGCTGTTGTAGGTACTTCACACATGCTAATATGTTTATCCTCACAGCAGCCCGTTTTCCAGATGGGGAAACCATAACATGCTTTATGGTTAAGTAAGTTGTCCAAGGCCACATAATCACTAAATGGGAGAACTGGGACCCAAATTCAAGTTACCTGCCTCCAGATTCCATGCTCTCATCTACAGCATGATACTGTCTTTCTTAAACCTAATACAGAACCTAATAAAAGTTTGTATTGTGACTTCTGAGTGTTCCTTATTATAAATATATCTTTATGCATAAATCTGTTATAGTAGGAGAGATTTTTTAAAAAAAATGAAATTAGAAGTACAAATTGGATGAATATATTTAACAGTTTTGATACATTTTGCTGAATTACCTTTTTTTCCCCCAATATTATGCATATATTTGATGAAATTATTTCCAGGATATCCTAGGGTATCATACAATAGTCCATGTCTACCATCATAGTTCTTCACAGTCAGAATTTATGGAGAATATTGCAATACCCACAAAAGCAATGAACTTGCAGCATTGCAAGAGCCACGAAAAAAGCACAATTATAATCCACATGCACTATACCATCACTTGGAATGATGTTCAGCAATGGCTGAGATACTATTAGGTTTTAGACTAACTCTAGCTAACTCCCCAAAACTGAGCCAAACACATATTTTGCTGAATTTTTTGGATAAACTTACAACCAATTTAGAATCCTATTACCAAGCATTTTTGTTGCTGGTCATATAGTCCATATTACCACAGCTAATTTGATGATCTCATGTTAATTTTAATTTGCAGTATATTTTAAATTAGCTGAAATAAATTTTTATTTAGTTGATGTACATCATTCCTATGTTATAAAGTTATACTACAAAGTTACAGTAATCAAAACAGTATGATACTGGCACAAAAGCAGACACCTAGATCAATGGAACAGAATAGCAATCCCAGAAATAAACCCACACACCTATAGTCAATTAATCTATGACAGAAGAGACAAGAATATACAATGGAGTAAAGACAGTCATTTAAATTAGTGGTGCTGGGAAAAGTGGACAGCTACATGTAACAGAATGAAATTAGAACATGCTATCACATCATATACAAAAATAAACTCAAAATCCATTAAAGACCTAAATGTAAGACCAGAAACCATAAAAGTCCTAGAAGAAAACATAGGCAGAACATTCTTTGAAAGAAATTGCAGCATTATTTTTTGGGTATGTCTTCGAAGACAAAGAAAACAAAAGCAAAAATAAACAAAAAGGACCTAATTAAACTTAAAAGCTTTTGAACAGAAAGGGAGATCATGATAACATGAAAATATAACCTACTGAATGGGAGAAAACACATGCAAATGATATGGCTGATAAGGGGTTCATATCTAAAACATAAAAAGCTCAAACAACTCAACACTAAAAAAAAAAGATTAACAAATGGGCAGAAGACCTGAACAGACATTTTTCCAAAGACATACAGATGATCAACAGGCACATTAAAACATATTCAACACCACTAATCATTGGAGAAATCCAAATCAAACTACAGTGAGCTATCACCTCATGCTTGTTGAAATGGCTATCATCAAAAAGTCTACAAATAAGAAAGGTTGGCAGCATGTGGAGAAAAGGAAACCCTAGTATACTGTTGATGGGAATATAAATTGGTACAGCCACTTGGAAAACAGTATGGAATTTCTTCAAAAAACTAGAAATAGAGCTACCATATGATCCAACAGTTCCATTCCAGAGCATATATCTGAAGAAAATGAAAACACTGATCCAAAAAGATACACACATCCCAAGTGTATCAACAGATGATTGGATAAAGAAGATGTGATATACATGTATGTGTGTATATATCTATGTATACATGCACATATATATAATGGAATATTACTCAGCCATAAAAAGAACGAAATTTTGCCATTTGCAACAACATGAATGGATTTGGAGGGTAGTGTGCTTAGTGTAATAAGTCACACAGAGATAAATACTTTATGGTATCCTTACATGTGGAATCTAAAAAAATAAAACAAACAAATGAATATAACAAAACAGAAATAGACTCATAGATACAGAGAGCAAACGTGGTAACAAGTGGGGAGAGGGAAAAGAGGGTGGGCACCAGGAGGACAGAAGATTAACAAGTACAACCTATCATGTATAAAATAAATAAGCTACAATTATATATTGTACAATACAGGAAATACAGCCAATATTTTATAATAACTGTAAATAAAGTATAATTCATAATAATATTGAGTCGCTATGTTGTAACCTGAAATTAATATAATATTGTAAATCAAATATACCTTAATTAAAAAAAATATGGTGTCTAGGGTACAAAAGTGGATGTTCCAAGTGTTGGGAAGTAGAAGCTGACAGACTTTAGAGACCAGGGTTTATAAACCAGTATAACATCACTTTTGCTATAATCTCTTGGTAAAAGTAGTCATCTAGCTTACCCTGATTCAGGGGAAAGTTATTGCCTGTGGATGAATTTTCTCACTGAAATAATTCCTGGAGAGCTAGCCGTGATCTCGATCTGTGACAACTAAA